TCTCTCAACTGCTCCAGGCTAAGGAGGTACTTGGCATGAGAATAGAGGCCAGGGACCTTGTCTCTCCTGTACTCCCAATGCCCTCCCCACTGAGAATGGTCAGAAGAATCTCTGCCAACTAGAGCACACTCTTCTCCAGACTTGGGGTTAAACCTAAGATTCCTGTGTCTCATCATTGTTCTGCTGTCTTCAAATATCTGTGAAACCCAGGAACACAGTTTGTGTGCCTCACTGCTGACTAGTGTTGGCCCACATAGAAGATGACAGCGTATGACTACTATAGGTTATGCCATTAGATCAAGTAGCAGAGGTCTGTGTGGTGGTTCTAAAGTTTTCAACCCTCCTAATGAACCATGGGAGTGCCAGTACAGACTGAAACTCTCTAAACTGGGGCTCTGTTCTGGCAACATTTCAGACCATGGATGTTCCAGGACCAGAGAATTCCAGTGGAGAGCTAGCCCCTGGGAGCCCTGTAGGATGGTAGGGCAGTGAGAGCTCGATGGCTGGCAGTGGGGCTTCCTGGGAGGGCAGCGGGAGCCTGGTGCGCAGAGGCACCAGGGCTGCTTGGTGTGGGAGCAGGAACTGGGTGCTGCAGCAGGAGTCTGGCATGCAGAGGCAGTTGGACTGCCCAGTGTGGCAAAGGAGGCCAGCACATAGCGGCGACTGGGCTATCTAGCACGGCAGCAGAAGCCAGGTGTGCAGAGGTGGTGGGGCTGCCTGACAGAGAAGCAGGGGCTGACAGGACAGCAGGAGCCAGCAAGGCAGGCAGCTGGCTGGGAGGCAGGCGGTCGGGTCAGGGCTGGAGGGGACCAGTGACGGGGGGCCAGAAATGACTTCTTCTGGACCAACAAAATCCCTCATCTGGGACCAGTCAGGTCCCGAGGATGCTGGACCAGGGAGGTCCAACCTGTACTACAAATTCAAATAATAAAAGTAGACATTATCAGGAACCACATCATAATTACCTAACATATAGTATCAAATCTAGTGAATATTAGTTTATTCAGCTGTTGGACTGAGGGTTCTACTATAGATGGAAAATATAATAATTACACAAACTTCCATTTCCTAGAGTTTTCAGTGGAAATACACTGGGATAAAACCATTAACTTTTTGAAATCCAGATAGTAGGTATTTTATCCTCAACTTATTCTAACAGGAGTAAAATGAGTTGCTTACATGTAAATTATTATATATGTTATCTATTATCATTTGAATAAGCTATACAGTGTGTTAGTATGTTATTATAAAATTAATCTGGTAAAATTTAGTTTATTTTAAGAATCAAATTTGACCGTGCATAGAGTACAACTTGTCATAATGTCTCCTAATGCAGCAGGAAACATGCTCAGCGTGAACTTGTTAAACCTCTTAAAATAAAATATACTCCCTAAAATCTCTCCCTACACATTTTTTCCTGCCTCCCCCTCACTCCCCGACTTCTCCCTCTCTGCTCTGCTATCCATAGCTAGTGCTCAAGGAAGTACAGGCAGTCCCCGAGTTACGTGGATCCGACATATGTCGGATCCACAGTTACGAACGGGGCTTTTCTCGCCCCGGAAGACGGGAGTGGCGGGACGCCCAGATGCGCCGCGGACC